TTATCTCGGTACCGTATCTACTTGGTTTGCATCTGTTTCTCCAGTATGACGATTTAATCGGTCTTTACTGCACGCTCTGTGCACCTTCAGTTCACTGCTCAATGCAACGATACCTTCAAAATGGCGCCTCGGTGACGTCACACATAATAAACGCCTGTTGGTCTCTTGGTAATTGGTCACCTTCTATTGGTGGCTCGTTAAAACAACTAAATCCCAATTAAATATGTCCCAAAACACATTACAAACCATTTCTAATGGGTTTAATGGTTAAAAGTTAATGGTTTGTAATGTATGGAAACCATTAGAATTTCTGTGATGATTTCTGTTGTTTTTTTCAGCATGCCATAGCCTAATTTTGACAGAATAATGAGTAAATTTTATAAAATGATGTATCAGAGTTAAGAATATTCTAGAGACCCTCTCTGTTTCACTTCAAATAGAAACAATGAATGCTTTTAAACACTAATGGCAGATAAAATGTTTATCCCATATCTCGAATCAGTGGTTTCACTTTTCCTCAATTGTAAAATGAAGATTACACATCTAAACATGGTCTCAATCTGACATTAATTTCCAGTGTTGTTAGACCTGTGTAAGTGCAACTAGCCTACATCCGTGTGTTTTTTTGTGTTCTTGGGGGCTCAATAATAATCTTGTCAAAGGGGTTTAGAAGTGTACTGAAAAAAAAACACTTTATTTTTACATGGATTACCACCCACAGGATCTTGACAGATTTGGCACTTGAGTCGGAGCTCAGTTAACCTCAGGGCATTTATGTGACACAGCTCTAAATTGGTTTTGTACAAAACTGTGCCATGATGCCATCTTCAAAGAATAGAGGAGTTAACTGAGGATACTCAAAATCTTTTGCCAAACTCTAGCTACAGAATCTGGGGCCACTAAGGCTTTCAGTCCTGATAGGTTCTGATGATGAAATACAATAAACACATTTTATAGAGAATAGGAATGAAATGTGGCAAATTGAGTGTGAATGGATGGATTGGGGGTGGGTGGCACAAATGCTTCATGTTTTATCAGGTTCTCAAATTTTGTCTCTTTGTAAATGTATTCTGTTACTGTACTGCAGAATATTCATTTAAAATATCGAAAATATTTTAAAAGAATAATATTAAGCTAATTGTAATCACACGATCTAAGCTGTTTTGAGTTTTGTGTGTTACTATGACCTCTTCTGGTAATTTTATGTCGCTACAACTAACTCATACTTTCAATGTTTTTACGCATGCTGGACATTTTAGCAGGAATTTAATTAAATCTGGTGTAGTGGTTTGGAAAGCCCCACTAATCTATGGAGGACGAAACCTGCAAACACAATAAATAAATAAATACACAAATAAATAAATGTGTGCATAAATACACGTATTCTTGTTTAAATACATCAATAATTATATATGTGATGAAAGTAGGCAAATAAATAATATAAATTGGTGGGCAAATGGAAAATGTTTAAGGAAATGCTAAACTCATCCTAACTATTTTCCTTTGATCACTCATTTATTTCTGAATGTAATTCCACTTTTTTTTCCCTCTGCGCAACATGCTAATGAGAGGGTGTCAATTATGCAAGAGTAGGCGGATCGTGTGTGACGCGCTTGAGCGTTTGCCTGCGCATGCGTATTAACTTCATCAGTCAAGGTGACTGATTATTATCTTACACTTTTTCATAGGGTTAGTTTTGTAGTTATAATCATGAGAGAGCTAAATCATAAAAGATTTTAAGTGGCCAATGTAAAATATTAATGCTTACATAGCTCTTAATTGCAATACTGAACCGTTATTTGCTTAATAAACATACTTTTGTCGCCTGTATTTTCTGTTCTGATAACTAATGGGAAAAAAACGTCTGTTCCTCGATTAAACCACTTCATACCAGT